TACTTTAGCCATTAAAAGCAGATAAAAAGTTTTAAGTAAATATTCTGTTTAAGGAAACCAGATTAATACATTTTTAAATAATACCATCCAAACTACATGATTAAACATGTGATTATTGACCTAATATGAATAACTTATTACTCAAGAATTATGAATAGCTATTTTATTATACTGAGTAACATGCTATTATAAATAGGCTATTCTAAACATTTGTTTAAAATTCCAAAAAAAGATGTAGTATTTAATCATAACACTAGGTGGTGGTAACTGACTTTATAGAAATTAAAGTGTGAGAATATTTCTAATGTGCTCTATTTTTTGAACATGAAAACATTTAGTGCTGCTTTCATTTCAGAAAAGGAGGGAAATTATAAGGCTGTACAGTACCATTTTTACCTGTTTCACCCCACTCCAGTCTTTTCCTTTGAATGTTATAATCCAATGACTCTCACATTTGTAGGTTTCATCCCCTTTACAATTTTAAAAATTATTGAGCATCCTAAAGAGCTTCAGCAAATAGGGATAAATAATTTTTGTTAGAAATTAAGAATGAGAAATTTAAAAAGATGTGTTAATTCATTTAAAATAACAATAATACATCTAATACTTGTTCATATGAATATTTTAATATAACTATTTTCCAAAACTAAAACAAATATTAAGAAGAGTTACTGTTTCAAATTTTTAAAACCCCTTTAATATCTAGGTTATTAGTTGACAGTTGGATTCTCATATTTATTTATAGATTCAATCTGTTAGAATATAGCATATCATTTAGTCTCTGGAAAATTTTTCTCTGTACACTTGACAGTGTAAGGAAGGCAATATATGTCAGCCACCACCTGTGTTCTGCCTGGGCCCACAAAGAATAAACTACAAAGCCATCTGCACTGGGTGCTTCTCTTGCTAGGCTTGGAGGTACCCAGGCAAGGCCAAGCTGTGAACCAAGGCCAGCTGCTGCTAGTGCGAGGCCTGGGCCACATAACTAGAGGCATGGGGCTGGCTGAGACCAGATGCTGCTTATTTGAGTTTTAGAGAAATCTGAAGCATGAGCCAAGACAGGCCAGTCCTATGTTAAAGCCATTGGGAACAGCTTGGGTGGGTTCAGAAAGGTAGCTGGAGTAGGTTTTCAGGGAACCACTAGGGTGGGGCAAGCAGTATGAGCCAATTTTAAGGCTCTGGTGTGGGACTGGGACCCCTCACTCCTCAGGGGGGTACCTCCATAGCCAACGTATCTTCCTGATTTCTATCTGTCACACGTAGTTGTGGGACCAGCCTATTCCAACCCTCCATCTCTCCTACCAGTCTCCATGTAGCTCCTTCTTTAAAGTTGTAATTGTAGGACTTCCCTTCAGCTCTATTTCAGATGGTTCTGAATGATGGTTGTTCTGTAGTGTAGTTGTAATTTTAATGTCAAAACTGGGTCATTTTTCTGGGGTTCTTGTCCCAGCATCAAGAAGGGTTCAGGAATCTGGAAAAGGGGATGTGCGTAGATGACATAGGAATCCAGAGACTAATAAAGAATCTGGAGATGAGATATAATTTTGAAAGGCATTGGGGGTCAGAGGACCTTCAGCTAAAGAAACTGAAGACTCCCTTCTTGTCTAAGACCTTTGCTTTTATTAACACAATTTGTCCTAAGGCAAGGTGTAGGTAATACACTTCAAAGGGTAAGGTTTCAAAGGGTACAGAAGCATTGTCAGTTAGGGGAATAGCCTACGGCTGTTCAGGTGTTTGGCCAGTAGGAGGCAATAACATGTAGATTAAGATGCCCTTTAACTGTCTGGCAGCCACAATCAGTTTCCTATTCAGGTTTGGGGAAATGCCTTTAGCCATTCCCAACAGGTAACTACATGTGTGACTCAACCCTGTTGAGTCCCCAAGTCTCCTCAACCTTTTGATGAAACTTTTGAAATTATGTTGGAATTAGTTCTCGGCACATTTTAATACTCTCTTGTAGTTTAGCCTTCCAGTGGGGAAGACAGGTCCTAAAAAGAAGCAAAGTGAATTGCCGAGAAGAGCACATAAAGGGCAGAATAGGAGACTAGGACCTTTTCAGGGATGGTTGTCAGAGGAGGCTTCTGTGGAAATGACAGCTGGGTTGAAACAGGAAGGATGAGAAGAAACTGGCCATGGGACAGAAGAGTGGGTTGGAGCGCATGTGCAGGTGGAGGGGACAGCAAATGCAAAGTCTTTAATCTGGGAAAGAACATGGGTATTCAACACACTGAGCAATGTGGCCAGAGCTTTTTGAGTTAGATTAGGTTGTAGACAGGCAGGAACCAGATCCTGTCACCCTTTGAATGCCATGGTGATGAATTACATTTTCTATTAGCTGGAGTGGGGAGCTGTTGAAAGATTATGCTGAGAAGAAAGATGATCAAACTTGGATTTTAAGATCATATAATATTATTTTATATATAATCATTAAATGTGATTAAAAGTAAAAAAAAATTAAGTCCACATTATTTTATGCATAACAATTTCTAAAATATGACTGGTAAAAACGGAGGTGCTAGATGTTAACAATTTGGGTGAAATATTCTAGGCTTTTAAACTGAATAGTTACTGTTCATTGAGGAGCTGTTATCTAACAAGCAATGAGGTATGTTCTTTACTCATATCATCACAGAAATATTCTTGAAAAATGAACTACCATCAGAGTTAGGATTCAAAACCACATCTGCTTGACTTCATTTTACCAAGATTTTTTTCCTTTATGGCTCCTTGTAGGGCGTTGTGAAAAGAGTTGGGAAGGTTGAAAACTGAGGAGAAGGAAAGCAATTTTATATGTTTATTCAATAAATTATTGCATATATTTCTCATTATGAAGAGTGATTGGGAAGGTAGATGCTGTGAATTAGAACAATAACATTGAATTTCCCTATTAGGACATTATCCTGGGAAAGAATTTCAAATCCAGCTTTGATTAAAAGTTAACATTCACTGATTTTATGGTACACAAGCAGCATAAAAAAGATTTAAAGCATGTGCATATATCATCATTATAAAGTCATCATTATAATATTAACAACTAAGCCCCTGATCTTACTTGAGATCCCCAGGAAAGGAGTTGGGCATGCTTGGTAGATCAGCCTTTGGAGGAAGTAGCTGTGCTGGGCAGAGAGGGCCTGAGCTCTGGAGCTGAGAGCAGTAATTGTTATGGAGCAAAGCAGGGTAGAAACAGTCCTTAACCCTTAAGTGTTGCCTGTTCTTATTTAGTAAACCTAACAATATATGTTGTTGAGCCCTTTGAATGTTACATTACTTTAACTTTTAATTTTTAAACTTCTGGTTTATAAGTTGAGAACTTAAAGCAAGAGAGGTGACAGTGGACACCAAAGGATTAGGAAGGATAACAGGCAGCATTTAGACAACTGGTTGCGATACAATGGTCAAAAGTAACGTGTTTTTTCTGCTTGTTTGTTTGACTTACATATATTTGGCATATGCAACTTCTCCTGCATGGAACAGCATGTGTAATGGCAAATACGTGACAGTTTTGGAATGACTATACTCAACAAATACCTACATGACACTTTAGGGCTAGCCCAAGTCCTGAAATTTGGACTGGGAAAGAAAACGATACAGGAAAGAAAAAGTATCATGCTGTCAAGGGTATAGCATTGAAGAAATAATTTAGGGGAAATAGCACTAATTAAACCAACTGGCCCAAAGAGCAATACACTTTTCTCAAACTAATTCTGTAACAAACCTAATTCTCCAGGTTTTCAATGTTTGCTCAACTCAACTATGTGTAGAGATTCCTTTCATTTTTGAAATGTTTTTCTGTGTAGAGGAAGACTATGACTAGTTGACCTGGTTTTCAGGTCCCACATGTTTTTTGTTTTGTTTTTTTCTTTTTTAGAGCCTAAAAGGCTCCACTACACTGGAGTCTATCTTTTTTTTTATTGCTTCAATTCTGCCTGAAGTTAGTTACCATATAAATGTTTTCTCCAAGCAGTGCATATATTATCCATCAGTGCTGGGAAACAAGGAAAGATGTGTTGCTCTAGGAAGACTGCTATTGTTTTGTTTTTAAATAACTATTCATTGTTGAAAGTATTACATATGCCTCCTCCCCCCCCCAACATTGGCGCCTCCAGCCCCCCAGCCCAGTCCCAGGTCTTCAGCCCCCTATTGTCTGTGTCCATGGGTTATGCATATATGCATACAAGATCTTTGATTCATTTCCTCACTCCAGTTGTGTGATCATAGTGTCTACCAGGGGACAGGTGGAAAGCCAGGCCTCTGGCCCTAGAATGGGTGGTACAGTCACTCCTGGAGTTTTCTTTTTCTGCAACCATAGCTCCTTGGAGGCCAGAAGAAATTAGCCAGCTATGCGCCAGCAAAGCGTTATATGTTCTGATTTGGGGTTTGGTTTGACTGTTGGTTTTGTGTTGGTTTCAGAGAGAAATGATTTTTTGACCAGGCCCCATGGACTGATTTCCCCAGCTCTGGAAGCTCAAGCCTCAAGCGAGAGGAGCCAGCCTCTGAGGGCTCCGCCCTGTGGGGCCCCCACATTCCAACCTGGAACTCGGAGACAGCAGGGCCTTGCGGACAAGGAGATACTGGCTATTCCAGGTACGGTCTGGGCAAGGGAATAGGAGAGCAGGGGCCCAGGCCTTCTATGGAGAGTTAGCTCAGCACCTGCTCTAAGGCTGTCAGTATTGCCGCCACTAAGAAAGACACCAGCAGCCTTGCCAAGGACAGGAAGACAGCCAGCTATATGGAGATGCGAGTGGCAGGAGGTCCTGTCTTCCTTGGGGCAGGCGAGCCACAGACAGGTCCCATGGGTGTAACTTTGGTGCTTGGGGTGCTCTGGTGCAGTGCAGTGGGGATAGCAACTGGCTGGTGACAGATCAGGAGGTCTTCAGGACAGGCCCCTTCAACCTGACTGTATGACCCTTCGCTGCTTTGGTTACAGTAGGGGTAGATGGGCCTGAACTAAGGAAATAAAGCCTAAAAAGAAAGACAAAACTCTCCTTTGTTCCCGACAGGGCGAGCACGAAGCCCACTTTTCAGGCATCGGAGTGGCTGCACTACTGGATCTGCCCCTTCAGGTCAAGCTGCCCATGATCCCAGGGAGCAGTAATTTATACTATATGATGAAGTTAAGTGAAAATGTAATTTTTGCCTTGACGTTGGTTGTCTTTGCCCATTTCTACCTGCTTTGAAAGTCAGGTGCTACATTATACAAAAGTCCACGAAGAGAATTTGCATTAACATTCAAAGCAAAAAAAAAAAATCAATCCCACATCTAAACCAAGATATTGTTTAGCATTCATGCCAAGCAACTTCATCTAGTCTGGCTTGCACAGAAAAATGGGATGGAAAGGATTTATCCTTAGTTCTCTCTTAAGTTTTAGAAGCACATTAACATTTCTTTATAACAACACAAGATATACTTATTTAGTGATATTTTATTTACATAGAAATAAACATGTTTGACTCAAAGGTGCAAAATTATTGGTGCTAGCTGTCATTTAAATATATCGAGATCTTAACCGATAATAACTTGTTACACAACCTTCTCTATGGTTATGTTTTGAGAGAAATTCTATCTCATCCACAACAGTGAGTATAAAATGGAATTGAAATGAGTTGACCTGCTTCAGTACTGTAACTTCACTTTAATGGAAGAAGGCTCTGCCTCCCGGAAGACACTTTATGATTTCCCCCAACCTTCCTGTCCAGTCTTACTCCCACCCAGAACCTCCGCTTCCTCCAGTTGGGGTCTTTCATACTTCCTCTCACATACCATGGGAATGCTTCTGTGCCTTTCCTCACCTTCCCCCAAACCCAGCATACTCTTTCCTCTTCTCTGCAGTCTATGAACTTCAGCCACATTTCAAGATTTTTTTCTGAACTATCATAGCCCCCACTGAGCTTATATTTCCTTAGAATTTGCAGTGCTCTTGGTTTGTATAATTTTTAGTCAACACTACAATTCAATGCTAGACTCATCCTTGACTCAATCACTAACACTTGTATAATATATCTATGAATGTGCATGCCCATACATGAAGTCATTATTATACCTCATAGGCTGTTTTGTAGATTGCATTTTTAAATAATATTGACAATTTGCCATATCAATAAAGGTTGGACTAAAATTATAAAGAATCATCTTAGTTTGCTTATTTTTGACAAACTTAGACTAAATGTAAGATTTACATAATTTGATATATACTACCATATCACAATGTTTTTAATATTGGAAATTGAAATATGTACGATTATCTTTTAAATATACTTTTGTCACATGTACCTTTTAGTATTATCAGGAACTCTCTGCACAGATGACAATCTCAGCTCAATCCAATTTTTCTAATTATTATTTTCTAATATTCAAATTTTCACCACCTTTTTTTTGAGTGGGAGTTCTCTCCAAGTTGGCTTTTATTTATTTACTAAAGGCTCAGTGCACAAATTTATGCATGGTGAGGTCTGTTTGCCCTGCCCTAATCAGGGCTGATCAGAGCAAGGCAGCTGCGGGGAGGGGCTGTGGGAGGTTGGCAGGCCGGCCCCACTCCTGATTGGGCCAGTTAGCCGGCCACAGTGCACTTCATAGTGACCAGTCGTTCTGGTCATTCCCATTGCTTGGCTTTTATATATATACTAGTAGCCCGGTGCACGAAATCTGTGCACATTGAAAGGGAATTAATTAGAGGAACGTAATTTGGACTCACTATCTAATATCAGTAATATGTGAGCGTGAGGTAGTCTGTGTTTCTGAAATTCAATGACATGGATCTTAGCTATTACTTTGCCAAATAAATGGACTTTACAGATATCATTTAAAAGAGCTTGGACAAGTAACCTCTCTAACCATCTAGTGTAACAAAAGATTTATTTAGAAGTAGACAAAATATTTTAACAAACACTTTGCAAAAAAAATCATGGATGAGCACAAGATAAGATGTTCATCAAGTAAGTAGATTACCACTTACAATTAAATACAACTGTACAATTAAAAGAAAGTGGACTGCTGATACATGCAACGACATGGGTGAATCTAAAAATAATAGTCATCTGTGACATGAAATAGACATAAAAACTGTATATTACATGATTCCACTTATATAGAATTCCAGAATATTGAAACATACAGTAATAAGAGGCTGATCACCAATTGTCTGCAGCCAGGGGCAGATGAAGGGATTGGCTACTAAGGGGCATAAGGAATCCCTCTAGGCATGTTGGATGTGGTCTTTTTCTTAATTGTGGTAATGATTCCACAGGTATATTATGGCTCAGGATTCATAGAATCATATACATTCAGTGGATTATTTGTACAAATTATAACACAAAAATTAATATCTTGCCCTGACCAGTTTGGCTCAGTGGCTAGAGTGTTGGCCTGTGGACTGAAGAGTCCTGGGTTCAATTCCAGTCAAGGGTATGTACCTTGGTTGCGGGCACTTCCCCAGTGGGGGGTGAGCAGGAGGCAGCTCATCCATGTTTCTCTCTCACGGATGTTTCTAACTCTCTATCCCTCTCCCTTCCTCTCTGAAAAAATCAATAAACTATATATTTTTAAAAAGAATTAATATCTTACCTAATAATAGACAAATATGAAAATTGACCGTCCCTCCACTATGCCCACCAGCCAATCAGAAGAGTATGCAAATTAACCCAACAAAGATGGCAATTAATTTGCATACATAGGCGCGAAGAGGCAGAGCGAAGACTGAAGGCTCCAGCTGGAGCAGCGAAGGCCTGGGTCCCAGGTGCCTGAGGAAAACTGGTGCCGGCAGCCAGGGGAAGGGAATGGAAGGCCTATTGCATGAATCTCTTCATGTAACGGACCTCTAGTAATTAACAAATATAAAAAGGGATTTTAACATGGATGTGCATTGAGCTACAATTTTAGATAGAAAAAATTAAAACATTTTTAATTTTCAATACTATTTTAAATTAATCCAGTTGCCTACAATAATTCCACTAAAACCAGAACTTGTTCCTAATTTTCAAAGAAGCATCATCATAACTAAAGTTTATTAGACTGCCAAAATGTCTTGTCCCAAGATATCAAAATGTGTCTCTATGTTTTTAGAATTTGGTTTTGAAAATATTTAGTATAATTGCATCCATCTTCCTTTTTTATTATTAACATTAATCACCTACTGCTCTCCATTCCTTCTATTATGTAGTGCAAATACATGGTTTTTGGTGAATTCATATCTAAGCATTATGATCTGGTGAATAGTAACACAGGGCTGCGAAACATGTATACCTGGGTGCATATTCACTCTCTGTCATCTACTAGCTATTCTCACTGTAGTCTTACTTATTCTCACTGTAAAATCCAATACTAAGAATTCTTATTTCAGAGAGATGATGCAAAAAGTTATTGAGACATGTAAATGATGTGCAATAATGGTATTTGCTACTTTCAATTATTACCAACTACTGCTTTTGTCTAGCAATTTCATTTTACAGATGAGGAAGCTGGGATCTAGAAAAGTTAATAGACAGATTCAAGGCAATAGATTGTTCAGTTTAAAGCCCATATCACACCTATTTATTCTAAATACAGTTAGTTTACTGTACAACATGTTGACAGACTTTAGTTGAATTTACCATTCTGTCAATTTCTTTTCTGAAACTAATAAATTAATATTATTTATCATTCAGATCAAATACACTCAGATCCATAATTTAGAAAAATGCCTTAATGTTTCTCTGCAGACCAGAAATGCATCAGTATTGAGTCTTTTGCAGACAGATGTTCTAGACTCTATAAAAACATAAGAGGGTGACAATCTCACCTACCCGCACTGTACACTCACAAACCCTTCTTGCCCTGCAGTGAGCAAGATGTTTCCAGGCAATAATTGGGGAAAATTTACAGGATTCATCCTGTTGTTTTTTTTAAAAGTATCATAGATTTACACTGAATTTTTTCCAGTGTCTGAAAATAATTATTTTATATATTTTTGTTCACCTTCAGATTTTGTCTTTGCATAAGGACACAGGGTTAATCCAGTTCATTTCTTTGTTGTGGCTAGAAAGGGAAACTACTGTTTTATTTTTACTCCGATTATTTTTAAATTATTTTATTAGGAAACCATTTGGTAATTTTAGTTGGGAACTTTCTCCTGAGTATATTAAAATATTTGATGGGTTTTTCCAGTACAAGCATTTTATACACTAGGGTTTTATTCAGTCAGGATTAAGAGGACACATGAATTTCCTCTGAGCTAAAACCACCAAGTCTAAATATACTTGACTCTAGAAAATATCTGAGTATAAGAGTTTAGTTTTTTGTCCACTTCAGAATTATTGTTTAGGTAAATAATATTTTTATGTTCTAAGCTGGTTCATCATATTCAGGAACAATTATATTTTGTGTTTTCAAGTTTCCAATTGCTAATATGTGTTAGGCTCTGATATAATTCTATCTAATAATAGATAAACATGGTAATTAACCATACCTCTGACACGCTTCCCATTGGCTAATCAGGGCGATATGCAAATTAACTGCCAACCAAGATGGCGACCAGCAGCCAGGCAGCTGAAGTGAACAGGAGGCTTGCTTGCTCCAGCGATGGAGGAAGCCAAGGTTCCCCGCCTGCTGCTGCCCAGCTCTGAGCTGCACTCTAAGCAACTATGTTGCAATTATAGAAGCTAAACAATCCCCAGAAACCTGCTTTCAGCCAGCCGGGCCTCAGAGCTGGTGTTGCAATAGTGTTTCAATTATAGAAGCTAAACAAAGCCCAGATACCTGCTTTCAGCAGCCAAGGTCTCAGAGCTGGAGCTGAGCTTCAGAGCTAAAGCCGGCTCTCAGCTCCAGTGACAGCCATAGAAGGTAAATAAATCCCAGAATAAAAAAAAAAGAAAAAAAGGAGAGGTTGGGAGTTTCAGTCACCCGCCAACCTGAAAATGGCCCTCAGCCCCTCACCCAGACTGGCCAGGCACCCCAGCGGGGACCCCCACCCTGAAGGGGGTGTGACCAGCTGCAAACAGCCATCATCCCCTCATCCAGGCTGGCCAGGCACCCAAGTGGGAACCCCACCCTGAAAGGGGTGTGACCAGCTGCAAACAGCCATCATCCCCTCATCCAGGCTGGCCAGGCACCCAAGTGGGAACCCCACCCTGATCCGGGACACCCTTCAGGGAAAACCAGCCGGCCCCCACCTGTGCACCAGGCCTCTATCCTATATAGTAAAAGGGTAATGTGCAAACTGACCCTAACAGCAGAAGGACTGGGAATGACTGGTCACTATGACACACACTGACCACCAGGGGACAGACGCTCAATGCAGGAGCTGCCCTCTTGTGGTCAGGGCGCCCTCACATGGGAGGAGCTCTGCTCAGCCAGAAGCCAGGCTGATGGCTGCCAGTACAGCGGTGGTGGTGGGAGCCTCTCCTGCCTCCTCAGCAGCACTAAGGATGTCCTACTGCAGTTTAGGCCTGCTCCCTGCTGGCAAGTGGACATCCCCCGAGGGCTGCCGGGCTGCCAGAGGGATGTCTGATTGCCATCTTAGGCCCAATCCCCCGGGGAGCAGGCCTAAGCCAGCAGGTGGTCATCCCCTGAGGGGTCCCAGACTGCAAGAGGGCACAGGCCGGGCTGAGGTACCCCCCCTTCCCCCCCAAGTGCACAAATTTTTGTGCACCGAGCCTCTAGTTAACTATGTTCATAGTTAATTTTGAACAATTCAAAATTGACATCTGATCATTGTTTGTAGATCTTTACACAGAGAATTCCCAATTTCACAAGCTTCACTTTAAAGTTTAAAATATGGGTATTTTAGTTGTCTTAACTAGGAAGAAAAGTTTCTAAATAATACTACAACACAATTAGAATAAGTGATCATTATCCATAGGTTTTGTTTTAAGTTACACATTCCTTTTATGAAAATTATTTCTAATTTGCAGACAGCCTATTTCAAACATTAAATAAACTATTTACTCTCCAATGTATTTCTCTTATGTGTGTTTTTTTTTATTGTAAAATACGTGGAAAGAAAGTAGCTGCAGTCTCCAGCTGTGACAAAGTCAATAAATGAGACAAGGAGCATCAGTAATAAATAAGACAATTTACGTCCTTCAAAGATGACTATCTCTACTCAATATCAAAGCCGTAGCCAGTGGTAGAGCCCAGCAGCTGGCATGGCTACAGTGAATACTTACTGGGAAATCAGGTTGTCACTCTATCGGCTCCATTATACTGACAAGGGCACACTAAGATTCCTGTGGAACATTTAAGAGCTTTCCTTTTGAGTTCACTGCTAGGAAATGATCTCATTTCACTCGGTCACTGATATCAGCTGAGTGACAGAATGCATTTCATTGCTGCTAATGCAAAGCAGTTAGCTTTTACTCCCAATTGTAGGCAGAGTCCAGAGTGTTTGTTAGTGAGAAATAGGAAGAAGTGTACTAAATCCATAGGATTGGTGCAAAAAATAAAATTTATATTACATTTCCAAACGTTACTATGTTTCTAGAACGGCTAGGGGTCATGGGAATAGAGCATGTTCCAATATGATGTCAGGTAATTCACATTTTACATACACATACTTGCCCTGCTTATCAGCTATCAGAAGTTAGACTCCTATAACAAAATTAAAATGTCCCAAAGTGTTTTCAGAACTAATTGTGTCTTCTAGTAACCACTAAATCTATAAGGATCTATGGTTAGTTAAACTGAGTTTCTATTGAAGCATAGTAATCCTCCTTTGGAAAATTGCTATTTGAAACTGCTGTTTGAACTATGTTATTCTTAGACAGTCTCTTATTCAGTAGGTCAACTCTGCTATTTTTAGATAGTCTCTTATTCTGTAAAATATAACTTTGTTTTTTAGCTTGGATAATAGAAAAGTTAAACTTAATTGTCTGACCTTGAAAGCTAGCCCTCTAACATAAGGGACTGATACGCTGATACTGATGTCAGGTGTCTATATAGATATGATATATACTCAAGGTTACAAGTTGTCTGTATAGTATGACAGGTGTTTGCTAGATATGATATGTACTCAAGGTTAAAACTGTCTACAAAAATTACTTACACAAAGAACTAGAAGGATATAAAAAGGAAATACTCCTTCCTTTGTTTGTTCAGAATTTGACAGAGGTAATCTGCTCTGAACCTGTGAGCAATAAAGATGACTCCTAACTAATTGGCTCATTAAGGCTTCTAGTCCAGCTTGCTGATTTGCGATACAACACTATGTCTTAGGTAACTAGAGAAACGACACAACTACCCAAAAGCCATGATCAAATCACAACCAGGAATCATACTCTCACACTACTATTTGGATATTAGTGATCTAGTCATCATCTATTCATGGATCCAGGTATGTGACTTGAATTTACATACAACTAAGGAAGAGTATTGTGTTCACTTTTACAAATACTTAAGCTTATATCTGTACAGCACATTACAGGTTACATTATATATTTGTATATATTAACATATTTAAAAACTATGTAAGATATGGGGAGAATGATTGCCTCATGGGAGATAGGACCACTAATTTTAGAAGGGTAATAGGCTAATATTACATGTGCAATCATGTGCAATCTTTGTGTTTGCTACACTTTCTAAAAAGGTAAGGTCCACAGAAACTGTCAATGTTGATATCATAATATTAATATACCAAGTTTGGGGAATAAATGATAGAACTAAAACAAGGGCTTATAATAGAGAATTAGTGGAGAAAGGAGTGATTACAAAGAAATTTCCAGAGGAAATTGTATGATGTATAATATTACAAGAGACTGAATAAACTCTCTTCTGTTAAACCAAACACAAAAGAGATTGTGAAAATGATAAAGCAATGCCACTATTCCATTTTTTTTTTTTGCCTCGGATAATAAAATTTATTTTTATAGTTCTGGAAAAACACTCAAGTCTCAAGGTCTTCAAGGCCCTCCAGGGTTTCTTACTACAGTTAATAGTGTGTTGAAATAAATTCTAATAAGAAAATTGGCTTTTAGTTTTGCTCAGTGGATAGAGCATCAGCCTGTGGACTGAAGGGTCCCGAGTTCGATTCCAGTCAAGGGCACGTGCCCGGATTGTGGGCTCCATCCCCAGTAGGGCGAGTGCGGGAGGCAGCTGATCAGTGGTTCTCTCTCATCATTGATGTTTCTATCTCTCCCTCTCCCTTCCTCTCTGAAATCAGTAGAAATATATTTTAAAAAAAGAAAAAGAAAGAAAATTGGCTTTTAACAACATACAACAACAAAGCTGCACAGTGTTGATACCTGCTAGTTCAGTTCATTTTATCCTTTCTAATAATTGATTTATTTAAAAACTCTTACCCAAGTCCAGCTGTGTAGAGGATTTAATTTTTGTTAGCATTTTGTAAAATTATGGGGGTTACTTCTGGCAGAAATCTATTTCCACATAATGCTTACACTAGGTCTTTTGTGACTGGAAACAATAGTAGCCTTGGTTGCATGATCTTTATAGATATTTCTGTTTTGTTTGCAATATAAACTATAGAATTAACTTTTAGGCACTTGTGTACTTACTAGTTCATTCTTTAAATAAGCTCATTCATACAAAGCGACCCCCAAGGCTCACAACTGAGGTCTGAGATGTTGCCCCGCCCCCTCCGCTAGTCCTCGCCCCGCCCCCTCTACCGTGGCCCCTCCCCTCCCCCCTGGCCGCCCCTTCCAGGCGGTCAAGTCAGTTACTCTCTGGGCTGGAGGTTGGGGCTGGGACCCGGCTTTCAGCATCCAGGGCACCGTCCATCCTGTGCAGCGGCCTATTGCTGTCTCCTGGCCTCCCCGCCCGGGGGCTGCAGGGCCACAGCGAGCCCGCCTCCCGCGGCCACGGCAGCCCAGCAGGTAACGGGCGCCGGGTGCCGGGGCTGCAGTGCGATGGGAGCACCCGGCGCGGTGCGGGCGGTGGGATCTGCTCCCCCAGATGCTCGGGCGCCTGGGGGAGTCACCCGGAGCCACCCGACCGCCTCGAGGCGCCTTTCAAAGGTGAAAGCCCGCGGGGCGGCAGCGGGTGGTGCCTGGCGGGGAGGTGGGGCGGGGCCCGGCGTGGGGCCTCAGCAGCTGCGGGGGGAACCCCTTGGGGACCTCGCAGGACCCCGGGTGAGGCGGCTGGGCCCACGGGAGGCTGAGGGAGGTGCAGGTGGAGGGAAAACCTTGGAGTTGTGGCAGAGTCAGGTGCTCAAGGGAAAAGGAGTCACTGATAGTGGCTTTAAGCTACTCACGTTTTAAAAACGCCTTTTTTTAAAAAATTGAGAAAGGTGTCTCTTCTGGGGAAGTGTTAATCACACATTTTCGGAATACAAGCGCTTTGCAGTGAGATTTACACATTAACATTCTTCTTTATCTTTAAAATTAAAAGCATCCTGTGAGTGTAACTGAAGTTGTTTGAGGGCTTTTTCTCAAATGACAAGTTGATGAAAGCAGGCGACTCATCTTTGTCTGCCCTGAAGTGGGGGGCAGGGGTTGGGGGGAATAGCAAAGGGAGGTGGGGTGGGTGCTGATGAGGAAGGAATGCCTATGCAGGTTTGTGAGGGTTGTGGGGTGGGACCTTGTTTCTGTCATTCTCTTGGGCTAGAGTAGAATGACTCTTGGTGTTTTTTTTCTAATTTTACACACAGCTTTCAAGTTTGTTTTAAAAAGGGCCTCTTAGAAAACAATCTCTGGGTTTTAGGGATGCACCTGCTGCTCATGCAGTAACCCTTTGCAGACAAGTCCTAGGCAATTAACTATGATTTGATTTACTTGTAAAGAAGCACTTTGAATTGCTGTTACCTTTTCTTTGATGTGCTTACTGTAACCTTTTTCATTCACCCTTTGTTCACAAGAGAAATGGTGCAGGTCACCACGTTTCAGCAGTAAAGGACTCTTGGGGCAGTGTCCCCTTCCAGGTGCACCCTCTTCTACAAACTAGTATTTCTATTTAGCCTCCCCCCCCCCGTTGTCTTTTTATCGTTGTTGTTGAAAGTATTACATAGGTCCTCCTTTTCCCCCATTAACCTCTTCCAGCCCGCTGCCATCCCCAGGCCCTCACCACCCCATTGTCCGTGTCCCTGGGTTATGCATATATGCATACAAGTTCATTGGTTGATCTCTTCCCACCGCCTTTCCCTGCTTTCCCTCTGGGGTTCAACAGCCTGTTCATGCTTCTAAGCTCAAAGGAAGGGGTCAAGTTTAGTTTCCTCCTACCCTCCGGTAGGCAGGTAGTATTTATCTTGCTCATTTTACAGGTACATAAACTCAAGGCTCGAGAGACAAAAGGAGTTCAGCCCCAGGTTACTTGACTTCTACTTGATTTTGTATCCATCATGGACTTAATCTAGGACCCAGCAAGGTCCCCACCACCAAGCAAGCTTCTGCATACCCATTTGATCATATGTACATGAGTCAGAGATGGAGATGTTATTTCAGAGTGAGGAAATATTGTCTGTTAGATGATGGGTTTTCTTTTCCTCAGAGGTTGCTAAGAGTCTGACTGGTAGCAGAAAGTTATTTTTTTACACAGGCAAAACAAAACAAAACCGAAGTGCTAAGTGAAAGTATTTCAAATTTTCCCTCTCCTAACAGATTAAAGTTTCTAGCACCCAAGGAAAATTCCTGTAAAGAAACTTTATCCTGTTAATTTGTATGGAAAATGAGGCCTCTCATCTGATGGTCACAGCTCTCTGGAGGTGTGGGCAATTGGAAGGAGATTTAGGCTGTTTACAAAGTACTTGCCTGTGTTCTTAACTTGGGATCTCTGCTCCTTTTTGACCTCCACTAGATGGTGCTCTGGGTGCTCCTTTTAGGAGATCTTGATCAGAATGTTTAGCTCCTATAGCATTTCACTGGCAAAGGAGTAAATGTACTACAACTGTTTCTGTTGTAATTGCGATTCCGAGAGAATTGCAATCAGTGATTTAATCTGTTTTATTCAACGAGATTATTTGGATAGAAGGAAACAACAGCTTAATTTAAAGTGAATGAAATTGTTGTTAATTTTTAAAATAACTTCTACTAAAAAGCTCTCTGGTTCTCCTTGTGGTCAGGAACCCAGACCACAATGTGGATTTATTGGTCCTTATCAGGCAGGTAAGTGTTTTGTGTGTGTTTCTTGAATGCTCATTTATATCTTCCTAATCTCTTAGGAGAGCATGATTATCACCCTGCCTCACTTATGAACCTGCTGATGGTAGGAGCTGTTCCTCAAGCTTGCTTGTTTCAAGCATAGCTTGGTCAGGTTGTTGGAGAAGGGAGATTAGAAAACATAGCTGTTGCTTGGATAAAAAGCATGATCTGTTTTAGGTGTAGGAGTTGCAGTGTTAGTGGAGAATAAGGACTAGTTAGGATGATTGCAATTTGTGAGATGTTTTGCAGAAAACACTGAACTTTTAAATATATTTTATTGATTTTTTACAGAGAGCAAGGGAGAGAGATAGAAAGTTAGAAACATCAATGAGAGAGAAACATCGATCAGCTGCCTCCTGCACATCTCCCACTGGGGATGTGCCCGCAACCCAGGTACATGCCCTTGACTGGAATCGAACCTGGGACCTTTCAGTTCGTTGCCTGATGCTCTATCCACTGAGCCAAACCAGTTTCGGCAGAAAACACTGAACTTTTAAAAGGCCTGTGAAGGTCTTTAGGTGGCTGTTGTGTGTTTATTTCAGTTCCACTGACCTCTATGTGGGGAGAAGAGCTTTGCTAAACCCTTTCTTGGAAACAACTGTGATCCTCTGGGAATTTGAATGTGATTGGGAGGAGCAATCTATACAAGTGTCATTCCTTCTGGCAAAGTAGCTCCCACCAGTGCTGCCAGCCCTTGGGTGAGTGTGAGCATAGGAAGGTGGGTGGTTGTAAGTAGCCAAGCAGATTAAAGACTTGCCTGAGTGTGGGCTTCCCAGTGCTCTCTGCACCCTTGACAACTTTAATCGAGTGAGTAAGCATTCTCACGAAGGCTTATAGCTGTCCCGGGTTCCAGGCTTGGGCTAGTTACCTATTTAATCTTCAAGTTTGTTTGTAATTTAAATATTTAAGTGGAAGGCTGAACTTTGTAAAATGAGTTGAATATGCAAGTGAATAGCTTAAAAGAATATTAGGCACATGGTAGGCTCTAGTCTGGTGTGTGTGTGAACATAGTTACTATGATACTCTGGTCTTCCACCCCCTAGAAAAGGCCCCACTAGAAATAGGCAAACTTGAATATGCATAGCCTTCTACTGCTCCAGCCTGGGAACTCGTGTTGGGGAGGAAAGAAGACTATTGGTCTAAATATTGCTTTGAAAAGAGCAGGAGACATAGGATGCTGTAAAGGACTGGTGTAGGTTAGGGTCAGGGACAACTTTAGCAGTTTTTGCTGTAGTATATGTGGTAAAAGCATCTGGTTAGCTTTATTTATCACAAAAACACGGTCTTTGAAAGACAGTGCCTATATATGTTTACTGTTAGGGTTTGGTCAGTAAGGAGGGCTATGAAAGAATTCACAACTAAAAGAAAAGATGTAGAGAAGTTCATTTTGCTTACCATTGGACTGCCAGTCAATAAAAGGCAGGGAACAAAAAGCTGCTTCCACTTTTAAAGAGTAATGGCTTCTGTTGCTAGGTGACAAAGAAGAGAGGAGGATTTGGGGCTGAAGTTGAGCAGATAGATACCAAGGGCTGTCTTGAAAAGTTACAGTTTGCTTCTTTTCCAGGAGACAGTCCAGCAGATGACCTAGGGAAATGTCTTATCAGTATTTTCCCAAGCCTGTAAAACAGGCTTAGAGCAAAAGTTGTGAAGAGTTCAAAACAGGCTTGTTTGAAGGTGAGGGGGAAGGGAAGTTTCTGTTAACTAGAGACTCTTTGGTGAGAATTATCCCTGAGTTGTGAAAACAGCAAAGAGGAGGTGGATGCAAGAATGTAGCCTTTATGCTGACTGGTCTGACTTAGTGGTTGAGTGTCTACCTGTGAACCAGGTTCAATTCCCAGTCAGGGCACATGCCTGGATTTCCAGCTCAATCCCCAGTATGGGGCCTGCAGGAAGTAACAGATCAATGATTCTCTGTTATCCAGTGCGCATATTCATGCACCTTGAAAGGAACTGTGGGCTGCAAGACTGTGGTGGGGACAGGGGCGGGTCTTGGCCCATCCTCTGCAACCTCGCCCCACCCCTCCTGCTGCTGCTCCCCTCCCCCCACCCATCCCCTTTCTTCCTGCAGTCCTGCTCCCACCTCTGCCTCTGCTCCCGCCTCTACTCCCAAGCCCTGACAGCACCAGCCTTGCTTGCACCAACTGAAGGAGCAAAGTACTCTCTGAGGCTGATGGCGCAGAGCAATTGGGGCTAGTGCCCACAGCAGGTGCGAGCAGCAGCTGCTGCCCTGATTGCCCCTCAGGAGCAGGGGCATGTGAAGAAGCCCTCAGGGATGATCCAGGCCTGCGCAATTGGGACTGGCTATGGGTGCAAGCGGGGCCAGTGCTGGCAGCGGGTGTGAGCAGCGGCTCCAGCACTGGCAGCGGGTGCAAGTGGGGCTGCCATGGATGATGCCCGCCATGTTCCGTGCTCTACCAACACCCGCTGCCAACACGTGCCATGCTCCGTGTATGCCCCCTGGTGGTCAGCACACGTCATAGCGATCCGTTGTTCAGTTCAGTTCGGTCTCTGCATGTTAGAGGTTTATATATATAGATGTTTCTAACTCTCCCTTTCCCTTCCTCTCTGAAATCAATAAAAGATATATATTTTTAAAAAGAATGCAGCATTCAGTATAGTCCACACTTTATATAATAGGCATTTTATTTTTTAATTAATTTTTAACATTTTTAAAATCCTCACCTGAGTATATTTTTTCCATTTATTTTTTGAGTGAGTGGAAGGGAGATGGGTGGAGAGAG